TTGAGGGGTTTAGGGTTGAGGGTTCGTAGGTTTGTGCCTTTTTGAGGTTTAATGAAGGGTCTGCAAGGGTTGGGAACTGAGTTTCCGGTCTGTATGTTGTAGCTGCTAGGCAGGCCACTGTAGACTTCTTGTATTACTGACTACCCAAAACCCTAAACCCAAACCCAAAACCCTAAACCCTAAACCCTAAACCCTAAACCCAAAACCCTAAGTCACAATATCCTCAACTCCGTATGGGTAGTTCTCTAAATTAGGGACCCTTTTTGGATCCCCCATATACTACGGCACCCTCATAGGAAGGACGCTAAAAGGCAGCCAGGTTTATGCTGTTCGGCCCTAAGCCGTGACCCCAAACGTCGCCCAAATGTTGTTGAACCCACTAGCAGCTGGCGTGCAGGCTACAGACCATGTACTTCAGGAAGCACTTTGGGCGACAGCTGGGCAAGCAGATGGTCACGTGCCCTGGGGTCAGCACCAAGCCCCCTTAAACCCTAAACCCTAAACCCCAAACCCTAAACCTTAAACCCCTTAACCCTAAACCCTAAACCCTAAACCCCTAAACCCTAAACCCTAAACCCCAAGCCCCGAACTTGCAGTCCGGTTCCAATCAGAGTTTCATCGGGATTCACCGGGGTTTTGAGGTGCTTGTGTCCTTGTTACGGAACTTAGTTGAAGTAGCCAAAAAACAAGGACTGTATGTTGCGGACTATCTTCTCGTCTCCCATCTGATTTTGCCTTCTGCTATCATATCATGTTCCTTTTCTTGGTTTATAGTTCTGGGTTTAGGGATTAGGGTTTTAGCTGCGTAAGCCCCGGGCATGCCTTCAGCGTGCCATGTGCTTAGTTGGGATGATCGGCTTTAATTCGAGCCAACAGGGTGGTCGGAAGAATTAACCGTTTAGGGTTTAGGGTTTAGGATTCGGGTTTAGGGACTATAGTATAAGTACAGTATAATATCCTCCAAACCCTTATTCCAAGTGTCGGAACTACAATGATCAAGGCCCCTGTGCTATTCCCAGCAAGGATGCCTAAGAACCCCAGCGCGGGAAGGCGGAATGCTCTGTTCAACTCCTTTGACTTTCTGAGAAGTACAGGGGCGTAACAACTTAAACTTGAGTTTTGAATCGGATGCCGCATTCTAAACAAAGGAAGCCCCTAACCCCTAAACCCCTAAACCCCTCAACCCTACACCCTCAACCCTAAACCCTAAACCCTAAACCCTAAACCCTAAACCCCTAAACCTCTAAGCCCCAGGAACAGTATGCGTGCTCTGTGAGCTCCCTAGGCTGGCATGACCCTGAACCCCTCAGCCCTCGACTTCCAGGCCAAAACCCTAAGCCCTAACCCCTGCATCCTAAACGCTAAACCCCCGCCCTCCAGGGTTTAGGGTTTAGGGTTGAGGGTTTAGGGTTTCCCACCCTCCAGGCCAAAACCCTACACCCCTAAACCCCGAACTCTATGGGCCCAATCCGCGTACCCAGAGAGCCCAATACCCTTCTTAATAAGGATCGTACCTTAAATCATAATATCAAGGCCCCAATGACTTAAGGAATATTCCTTAACTCATAATATTAAGGCCCCCTATAATTTAAGGAATATTCCTTAAGTCTTAGGAAAAGAGGCTCAAAGAAAAAGAAAACCCTAAAGGGTATTGGGCCTAATCACCCTAAACCCTAAACCCTAAACCCTAAACCCTAAACCCTAAACCCTAAACCCTAAACCACCTGCTCTCAGGTACGGGCCTTGCCAAATACCGACTCTCTGGTTCTGCGTCCACCGGCACGTCCGGGGCCCCTGAGTACATAGGGAGCCTAGACCCCAAAACCTGGGGTTCAGGGGTTCAGGTTTTAGGGGTTCAGGGTTTAGGGGTTCAGGGGTTTAGGGGTTTAGGGTTCAGGGGTTTAGGGTGTGGGGTTAAGGGGTTTTGGGTTTAGGGTTTAAGGGTTTGGGGGTTTAGCGCCCCGGCTTAAGGGGCTTTATGGAATTTAAGATCCCCTAGTTCGTGTAGGGGCCTAAATAATTACCAATACTTTTCTGGGGTTCCTTATTATAAGTATAGCATAATGTGCCCAACCCTATTCTAATTATTAAGGCCCCTATAGCACGGTTTCCATGTGGAGGATCCCCGTCTGAATTTGAAGAATCTTCTCTTCGGGATTCGTTCAGTCTATACATGGGTGCAGTGGTTTCTGGTTTCTGGTTGCACTAGGTTAGGATTTAGGGTTTAGGGTTTAGGGTTCAGGGCTTTGGGTTCGTCAAGGTGTCAGCGAAATCCCGCGCCATGCTGAGCCCAAAACCCTCAACCCTACAGCCTGAACCATCACCCGACTTTGGGCGAGGGATTTGGGGTTTGAAGGTTTGGGGCTTGGGGTGACAGTGCATGCGTTTGAGTTTTTGCACCCTAAACCCAACCTTAAAGCCTAAACCCTAGACCCTAAAACCTTACATAGGAACGTTCATTCGGCTCAGGTGGCCATCGTTGACTTTGTACCGGCAGCTCGGCCAGCCGAAGTGCTCACCCAAATCATGAAAACTCTAAACTTACAGTTTAGCTGAGTCCTCGTTGGCTACAATTTTACATTTTTGTTAGAATAAAACCCAATAAGGATTAAAAGTGATCATGTTTAATATAGCCCCGACAGGGAACCAGTTGGGGTTTAGGGTTTAGGGTAGACCCTAAGCCCTGAAACCATCAACCTTAAGCCCTAAGCCCTGGAGCCCTAAACCCCAAACCCCGAAACCATAAACCCTAAGCCCAAAGCCTTAAACCCTAAATGCCGAAACCCTAGGACGCACACCCTGAAACCATAAGTGCTCAACGCTGAAGCCCAAACCCTAAATTCTTTTCAGGATGTTGATTAGGATGCGGTTTAGGGGTCTAGGGTTTTAATTAGAACTCAAGATTTAGGGCTTCGGGTTCCAGGGTTTCAGAGTTTAGGTGGCTAGGCTTCAGAATAACAGCTTGGGTCAGGTTCATGAGTTAGAGTCTGGCCTTACACCCTAAACCCTAAACCCTTAAACCCTGAACCCTAAACTCCTACAGTCAACCCTAAACCCTAATCCCTAAAACCTAAACCCTAAACCCCAAACTCCAAAACCCTAAACCCTAAACCCCTAAATGCAAGACCCTAAGCCCTAAACCCTGGACCATAGACCCTAAACCCCAAAAGCCCTAAACCCTAAACGCAAAACCCTAAGCCCTAAACCCTGGACCCTAGACCCTGAA